AACAAGAAAATGCACAAGGATCAGAAAATGTCAGATGCCTGCCTCGTGGTCTTGTGATGGATGATATACAGTTGGGTTCTTTCCTTGGGAGTGATGGAATATACTAGAATTGCATAATTGGAGATGGGGTGGGGAGGGCGGGGAGAGAGAGTGCCGTCAGCAGACAGAACAGAGATGATGGTCATTGAAACATTTGCTCATCAGAAGCGGTGGTTGAGAGTTCAGGTTTCAGAACAAGAGGATGGAGATGAATTGGCCCTGGCTGACTCACTGTACATGTGTGCATGCCTTATTTTCTTTAACTTTCATCACAGCCAGAAGTGAGGAACCTGGGTCACTGTGGACATCAGAAAACTGTAGGCCAGTAATCTAGAAGGCAGGATCTGAACCCTGGACTCAATGATTTCAAACCTTCCAATCCTGGGCCTTTTCAAATTGGCGCTAAATCGTTAGCACAATCCTCAATATCCTCCATCTCAGCTCTGAAGTCTCATTTTGCCTGCTTTTTTCCCCCCGAACTTATGTATGTCTGTGCTGGGTCTTCATTGCTGTTCTTGGTCTTTCTCTAGTTGCAGCAAACAGGGAGTTGCGGTGCTCAGGCTTTAGGATGTGAAGGCTCAGTAGCTGTGGCTCGAAGGCTCCAGAGAGCAGTCACAGTAGTTGTGGTGCTGGGACTTAGTTGCCCCAAGGCATGTGAGATCTTCCCCGACCAGGGTTTGAACCAGTGTCCCTTGTATTGCAAGGCATATTCTTAACCACTGGGCGACCAAGGAAGCCCTCCTTTTGCCTTCTTGATTTAAGTGAAACCCTTGTTCTCTGTGATTCTCCTGCAGCTTTTTTTCAGCCTGTGTTGGTAGCAGGGTGCCCCTGGGATGACTGGCTTGAAGGTCTGCCTTGTTCCTCATCAGAGCTTCTACACTGCAGGAGAATACTGGCCAGACTATAGTGGACAGGGCCCTATGACCTCTTGAGGAGGGGTGATTGGGGGTTGTACTGGTCATGTGAGCCCAGGGATCTACCTCCTTGAGGCCTGTATGTGTCAGGCTGGTGGACGGAGGTGTAGGGTCACAGGACTGGTCTAGGGCTGCCCAGCTGTGCCATCCTGCACTGTGCACTTTTGGGGTCCACCCTACCCATGCCGGTCCTTCCCTCAGGCCTTTGCCTTCATTCCCACGCCTTGCCTCAGCCCACACTCTGTTGTGCCCAGAAGTTTAAAGTCTCAGTGAATAATTCTTCACCGAAGATGTGCCATAAACCAACAGTGACTGAATTCTCCTAGGTCACCAGTGGGCGTCAGTTGGATGTGTCAGTTGATGTTTGTAGATTGGCCCATTGGGCTGTATCTGGTGGACATTCTTCCCATTTCAGCAGGGCTCACGCGTGCACCTGGAGTCAGCTCTGCGTCTGCTGAAATGAGCTGGTCCAGGGGCCAGGCTGTCTATTCTCTGCTGCGTGGTCACCCTGAGTCCAGCAGGGAGCACGTGCTTGTTCACGGGCAGCGCAGCAGGGGGCTGGGGGCAGTAGCCGCCCACAGACCTCCATGAGGCCCAGCTCCCTTCCTGCATGCTGTTGCTTCCACCACCTTCTGATGGTTCAGGCAAGTCACCGGGTCAGGCCAGCGTGCAGATGGCACAGCTGTGAAGAAAGAGGGAGACATGCTTCTTCATCCCCGGGCCTTCCCATCTCTGGTTTTGTCTGCGTCCTGGGTGTGGTGTCTGGCTGCCAGCGGTGATGGCTTCTGTGGGGGTCCCCTGTCCTCTGACCCTGGACGGCTGTGTGTGAACGATGTGACTGATTGCAGAGAGGCTTGGCGGAAGCTCTCAGTCACACGGGGGCTCAAGAGCCTCCTGATCTTCCCAGGAAGCTCTGAGAGCTGGAGCGGTTGGCGAGGCTTCCGCCGTTCATATCTAATCCAGGCGCTGATTGATGGAGGCGGTTTCGCTTTGATTGTCCCTGGGAGACAGGAGCCACTCACAGGTCTATGGCCATTTACGGGCAGAGCCAGAGGCTGGTCCTCCTTGCGGAACACTTCCCTCCTGGTAGAGGTTATGTTATTACACCCTCTCTCTGGCCATTGTGTCGTCCCCTCACTGCTGAACCCTCACCAGCAGCTCCCAAATAGGCTCTCCCGCTCCTGCCTCCAAAGGCAAAGCTCTGGGATTCCACATCTTCCCCCCACCTATCACCCCATTGCTCCCTGCCTCTTTAGAGAAAAGACTTTAGAAAGAGACACTCACTGTCCCTGACATCTTTGCTTCCATTCCTGTTGAACTCCTCTCTGGAAACTGCCCTCGGCCAGGACCCTTGCTCAGGCAGGTGGTCACGCTGGGTCTCATCTGATTCAAACACATGGCCCCTTTCTCTTCCAGGAAACTCTCCCCTCATTTGGAATCCACTCCACCTCCTGATTCGCTGGCCAGGACATCCTTATTTTCCCTGACCACTGACAACCTAGGGCCCTGGGGTTCAGGCTCCAGGCCTTTCTTCTCTCTTATCTGCATCCCCTCGGTGATCTCATCCTGTCTCCTGGCTTTAAACACCCGCTGCGTGCCAGTGGTGCTCACTTTATATCTCCTTCCTGGTCTCCAGACTCTCTCAACTGCCCGTGCAACGTCTCTGCTTGGTTGTCTAATTGCAGCTCGACCTTGGCCTGTCCCAGACTGAATCCTGATCCCCAAGACCTGCTCCTGCTACGTCACCCCCATATCAGTTAAAGGCTTCCCTCTTTCCTCACCAACTCCTAACGGTCACTGGATCCTTAGATCTCTCCCTTTGGTTTGGGGGTTTGCATTTTTTCCTTTATGATGTAACTTTATTTTCGAATATGTTAAACGTTTATGCAGTTTAAAGTCAAAACAGTATTTAGAGGTATCCTTAGAGAAATCTCATTTCCCTTCTGACACTTGACCCCATTTTTCAGTGTTTCTTCTGGCAAAAATAGGCACATATATGTATTTCGCCCTTTTTCTTACACCAAAGTTGGCATACTATATGCATTGTTCTATATCTTGTGTGTGTGTTTTTTTCCACTGAACAATGTATCGTGGAGATCACTCCAGTGCACAGAAAACTTCCTCATTCTTTTTACAGCTACATCAGAATTTCATTGCATGGATGTAATTTATTCAACCAGACCCCTACTGACAAACATTTGAGTTCTTTCCAGTTGAGCTGCTATTGCAAATAGGGCTGCAGACCTTATGTATATGCTTTGTGTTTTGATCTTGTGTTTTGTGATTTGGAAGGGTGTTTTAGGGTGGATTCCTAGAACTGTGGGTGAAGGATGTCATCAAGAGAGTCTCGGAAGTGGCGCAGGGTTTGTGACCTGGTGTAGCCCCAGGGAGTGCAGAGCCTCCAGTGCCCAGCTTAGGTATGGCCAAGGACGACACGGAAGGAACCTCCCCCAGAGTGTGGGGTCGTGGGCCTAGAAAGCTGTTGAGGCAGCCTTTCCCAAGGGGCAGACAGGGGCCCACTCATGGAACATTCTGCCTGCTCCGGGCCTCCTGTTGTCTGGGTCTCCCTTTTGGAATTGGCTCTTGGTGCCGTGGAGTTCAGCCACGTCCTTACTGGTTGTCTGCCTGCTGAGTCTGTCCGTTTCTGATGGAGGGGTGCTAAAGTCTCCAACTCTGATAGTGGACTCATCTATTTCTTATCTTTGAGTTTTCTGCAGTTTGAATACGATACGTCTGGATGTAGGGAGGGTTTCCCAGGTGGCGCTGGTGGTAAAGAACCTGCCCAACAATGCAGGAGACACAGAGACACAGGTTGGATCCCTGGGTTGGGAAGATCCCCTGGAGGAGGGCCCAGCAACCCCCTCCAGTATTCCTGTCTGGAGAGCCCCACGGACAGAGGAGCCTGGCAGGCCATGGTCCATAGGGCCGCCCAGAGTCAGGCATGACTGAAGCGACTTAGCAGGCACAGATGCGTAGGGTTTCTCTTTTCTTCTTAAGGTGTAGACTTGATTGAACTGATCTCCAGTCGGTGTATAGGTAAGCCCGGGCTGCCTCTGCGCCTCAGCCTGCAACCAGAGGCTTCTTTCTCTCTCCTCCTTCTTCCTCCCTCCTGCCTTCTCTCCCTTTCATTCTCTCTTTTGGCGTTTTTCCTTCGTGGTGTTCTCTGATCTTCCTGGATCTGTGGTTTGATGTCTGACATTAATTTGGGGGCAATTTCATTGTTATTTTAAATTTTTCTTCTGTTCCTTTCTCTCTCTGCTTCTTTCAATACTTCCATTCTATGTATGTGACACATTTTATAGTTGTCTTATAGCTCTGGTTGTTCTGTTCCCTTTTTTCCTCCAGTTTTTTTTATCCCCCTTTTGAATTTTCAATTTGAGAAGTTTCTATTGACATATTCTCCAGCTCAGAGGATCTTTCCTCAGTCATGTCCAGTCTACTCACTGCTCCCATCAGAGGGATTCTTCATTTCTGTCACAGGAGTTTTGATCTCTCATTTTGCCATCATGGGAAATCCTGGAATTTCTGGGTTGACTGCACAAATTCCAAAGAGAAAGCCAAGAAGAAAAGGCAGGAAGGAAAAGGAGAAATCTGAGGCCATGGGGATATCCTTTGCAGTTGCTGAATCAAGTCTCACTTGATGCCAGAACTAAATCAGGATTTTTAATGGACATACCCAGTAAATATCCCTTTACATTACAAGTCAGCTTGAGGTGAATCTTCTGTCACTTGTGCCTCAGAGCCCTCACAAATTCTGTACCTAACTCATAGGCTTATTGTGAGGTTTAAATAGCACTTAGTGACCGAAGCGTGGCAGACAGTACTCAGTGAATGGTCCCCAGTATTGTTACTGTGTTCTGCATGTTTTTACATAGTTCACTGTGTTTTTTATTCCATATCCTAACACTGGCTTGTTTCTGTTTCCCTTTTTGGTATGATTCAGTTTCTACCCCCAAAGGAGAGAGGCTGAGGGAGGGGGCTGGTCAGCCGTGGACCTCTGACCACCAGCTTCGGCCCCAGGTCTTCCTTGCGAGGCCACAGCCGAGGAGCAACACAGAGGCCTCGCGCTGTGGTCGAAACTGCTCTGACATCTCATTTTCGTTCTTCGACTGATGTTTGTCTGCATCCACTTACACAGAACGGTTTCCAGTAAAGTGTTCCAAGTGCCTTTTTTCAGAAACCCAAATCCACATGAAAACAATGGCAACAAGAAAAAGGTGTAAACTTTCCAGGACAGGCCCAGATTTTGAAAATGTGATAAAGAGGTTATTGTGCGTCCGAACTTTTCACACAAGAATTGGAGGAGATTTAACACCAGGAATAATAAACATAGGAAAACCAGCTAATGCAGAGCAGATGGGCCTGCAGGGCAGTCAGTGCTAAGCACTTCGATGTCTCTCCTCTTGGACCTTTGGACTCAAGATGACTGAATGCTAGTTTCTCTAATTCCAAATAAAGTCAGTGCATTCGGGGAAACTATCAATATGATTGGTTTGATTTCTAGGATGATAAATGGATTAAGATTTTTTTGGGGAGTGGGGTATTTCCCTCATGGCTCAGATGGTAAAGAATCTGCCTGCAATGCAGGAGACATGGGTTCAATCTCTGGGTTGGGAAAGTTTTTTAAGACCGTATAATGTGGTGGATGTTTGACACTTGCTACTTTAGTCCTGACCCCAGCTCCATTTTACGAATGAGAAAATTGAGGTTTTAAAAGTGCAAATCACTTTACCGAAGGGCACACAGCTAGTATGAGAGCTGAGCTAGGATGGGTCCTAGGTCGGTCTCATTGCATATGCTGTGATTCTGCAAACTGGGTAATAGGTGAGCAGGCAAACGGGGTCACTGCCACATAAATTTGAGGGACACTGTGTGTGTATATTTGTACATGCAGTGATTACATTTGTGGTCAAGTCTTTGTATGACTTAAGCTTTATTTTCTCTTGGATAAATACCTCAGAGTGGAAGGGCTAGGCCATAAGGTAGGTACAGGTTTAACTTCTAAAGAAACTGTTAAACTGTTTCTCAGGTTGGTTGAACCATTTTGCATTTCCAGCAGCAGTATATGAGAGTTCTGGTTCTTCCTCATCAGCACTTGGTATACTCAGCCTTAAACATTTGCCCTCTTAATATCATCATGATAACAGATTTTCTTAAGGTTTTCATTTGCCTTTCCCTAATGACTAATAATACTGAGTATGTTTTCATGTGCTTGTTTACAATCTGTATATCTTTTTTATTTTTTATTTTTCCTACCTACAATCTGTATATCTTTTTTAGTTAAGTCTTCAAGTGATTTGCATGTTTTTGAGTTGTTTCATATCATTGAGTTTTGAGAGTTCTTTAATACTTATTGATACAAGTCTTTTACTAGTTATCTGCTTTGCAGAGACTTTCTCCAAGTCTGGACTTGTATTTTCATTCTCCTAATAATGTCTTTTGAAGAACAGAAGTTTTTAACTCTGGTGAAGTTCAATTTATTTATTTATTTTAAAATTTATTATGTTGAAGTTGATACACAATGTTGTGTTAATTTCTGCTCTATATACAGAAAAGTGACTTAGTTATACATTCTTTTTCATATTCTTTTCCATTGTGGTTTATTACAGGATATTGGATATAGTTCCCAGTGTCCTGCAGTAGGGTCTCGTTTATCCACTGAAGTCCAATTTACATGCCACATTTCTTAACTTTCTGTTTCATATTTAAAACCTAGAAGAACTCTTGGTTTGATCTTACAACTCATAGATTTACTCTTTGGCAACCTATTCTACTATTCAGGCTATATGTTGAATTTTTTTCAGTGATCAAATATTTAAAATAAAAATCAAATCAATCATCATTTTTGCAACATGGTAATCTTGCATCTCCTTGAGAAGAGCAATTATTCAGTTCAGTTCAGTCTATGAGCTTTGTTTCCTCAGCATAATCGTTACAGTGAGAGGGCGACGTCTTTCTTGCGTTTGATGCTTAGCTGAGGAGTCATATTTGAGGACCCCTGTTGATTGGTCTTTGGCCTGTTGCGCCCTCCCCTCCAGGATGAGTGAGAGGCAACACAGTGCCACCAGAGGGCGCTCTCTCGGGGGCAGGAGCTCCTCCCGCGTCCCTGGTACCTCCAGTCCGCTGGGACCCTGTCTAAAGACTCATCCTTCTCGGTCCCACATGGAAGCAGACGGCTCTGCTGCTGCTGCCTAGCCCCAGGGGCAGTGAGGACAGGACAGGGCATGCTGACCCGACCGCTCCTACTCTGGTGTTCGTGCCCCGCTAGGAGCTCCGAGCTGCTACTTTCCTGCTCTCTGGTACCTTCAGATTATGAACATCATTGGAACCACTGCCCAATCTCCTCTTCTGAGCAAGAGTCCTCTCATATGTGTGCCTAAGTGTAGGATTCCTTTCCAAATCTGATTAGACTGACTTAATGTTTCAGGGATTTTCAAGATTTCTTATCTAAAAGGAAACCCCTTCTGATTTTCCAATTTTATTATGGATCAAAACCACATTTGTCTCATTCCTGGAGACCTGTGTTGAGAGGAGAGACTGTAACTGATGCTTTATTGTCCAACTTGAATGGAACCTATGGGCAACATTCGTGTCTGTAGAAGAATCTCAGTATTCGAAAGGCCACATATGCCAGTTGTTGTCAGGACAACTTGGTTTGCATCTTCGCTGCTTGCATGTTGGGGAAAGTTCACCAGGTCCCACCATCAGAGGGGAACATGTGACCATTTTTTTAGAAGTGAAACTTCGGACAGTTCTGTCCGTGTTGGAGAGGCCATGTGTCACTGTTGACAGTCCCAGCCAAGCTCAGACTTCCAGTCATTCCCAGCAAAGCAGCAGCCCTGTGAGTGAAGGGGTGCTGGATCCTTCAGACGAGCTCCGCTCCAGCTGAGTGCCGCTGAGACCCTCCGGTGATGCCACAAGAAACAGAGGAAGCGCCCCTCTAAGCTCCAGGTCCTTAGCAGGCTGCTAAGCGTTTGAGCTGAACCAGTGAAGCCAGCCCTTGCAGAGAGCACTCTAGTGAGGGAAGCAGTTAATAACAATGTGAAACGGATCGAAATCGGGGTTCTCCTGCATTGCAGACAGATTTTTATTTTTTACCAACTGAGCTATCAGGGAAGGCTTTTAGGAGCACAGAGGAAAGGTATCTTTTAGCTGTGTGTGCGCGCGCACACACACAAACACACACGGGCATTGCACACACTGCATTTCAACCCTCAGAACAGTGGGTGGCAGCTGCAGGAAATCACTTAAGGAGGATATTTCAGGAGCGTCCACTAGTGGCTCACATCTGGAAAGCTGGTGCGAGGCAGATTTGACGATTTACAAAAGTGACTGTAGAGAAGGAAGCCCAGCAAGGGTGGGCCACTGACAGGAGGATGCGGTTATAGCTGCCAGGCCACGGGAAGCTGAGGTCTTGAACTCTTAAGCCAAAGGAGGCTCTGAAATTGCCCACTTAACCATGAAGCTGCTTTAAGAACAGTGTTCTGAATTTTTTTCTCTTTTACTCCAGATACAGACAGCTATTTCTAACAGTAAAATAAATTGCATAATAATATTAAATTGCTAACATTTATCACTTGCTTCCCACGTGCCAAACACACTGCATTGTGCTTTCCAAGGCATATGTCACTGAAGCCCCACAACAACCTTGGTGATCCTCTGTTTACAAATAGGGAAACAGGCCTGGAGGGTTTAGTAACTTCTCTAGGTGACCTATATGATGTTACAGCTGAAGGTATGCATCCCCCCAGAATTTGTGTGTCCTAACCCCCAAGTGTGACTGTATTCCAAGTAAGGAAGTAACTGAAGTTAAGTGAGGTCATAAGACTGGAGCCCCTCCCTGATAGGATTAGTGCCCTTATAAGAAGACCCATCAGAGAGCTGGCTTTCTCTCCACGCATTTACATAAGGAAGAGGTCGTATGACACAGCAAGAAGGTGGCTGGCTGCAACCCAAGGGGAGAGCTCCTACCAGTCACCAACCCTGATGGCAACTTGATGTTGGTTGGACTTTCAGCCTTCAGAACTGTTAGAAAATTAATTGCTGTTGTTTAAGCCACCCAGTCCGTGGGGTTTTGTCATGGCACCACCACCCCCCCCACAGGCTATACACCCAACAACCCACCACACTGGGATTATAAGCACCAGAGCTCCTTACTCATTGCCCTAAACCACAACCTAGAAATAACCATTTGAAAATTTTTATGTTTTGACAAGTGCCATGATAGTCTTAATACTTAAGTTGAGGTAAGACATGTTTAAAGAAAGCTGAGTGCCAAAGAATTGATGCTTTTGAACTGTGGTGTTGGACAAGACTCTTGAAAGTCCCTTGGACTGCAAGGAGATCCAACCAGTCCATCTTAAAGGAGATCAGTCCTGGGTGTTCATTGTAAGGACTGATGTTGAAGCTGAAACTCCAGTACTTTGGCCACCTGATGCAAAGAGCTGACTCATTTGAAAAGACCCTGATGCTGGGAAAGATTGAGGGCAGGAGGAGAAGGGAACAACAGAAGATGAGATGGTTGGATGGCATCGCCAACTCAATAGACATGAGTCTGGGTGAATTCTGGGAGTTGGTGATGGACAGGAAGGCCTGGCGTGCTGCAGTTCATGGGGTCGCAAAGAGTTGGACATGACTGAGCAACTGAACTGAACTGAAGACATATTTTAAAAACGTGGCATTATCTGTTCCAACACTGATGGTTGTTACTTAAAGCAGTTTCACTAAATTTGGATCTCTGTAAAAAAACATTTGTTTTGAGCATGGAAGCAGGTTGGAAATATTGCACCTGATAATAACAGTGGGAGTTTTGGCATATGAAATAATTCAGTGGGAAGGTATTTGCTTAAATCTCTGCCTGCTATTATAGTTGAAGGTTTGGTGATAGTACTTGCCCTTCCTATGAACTTTCTGGATTTCAAAACCATGTGGAAGTGTAATTTGTCTCACATAAAAAAATAAGGTCGGGCAACTTTTGAAGCATTAACATCAAGAAGCATATTAAGCCAAGTATCAATCATTTAGAGAATGACCATCAGGTTGTGAATGACCTTGGCCCTTTTGCTTTCTCTCCCTCCTCTGACAATTTGGTGAGGATACGTTTCTTCCACAGGCTGGCTGGTCTCCTTCACCTCTGCTGGGAGTGCAAGTGAGTTTCGGCCCCTCAACAGAGGCCAGGCTATTCTAACAGGATTTCGCTTTGATGGATGCTTTGGCTTTATGGATAGAGCATCTTCTGCATCCCAGTATGGCTCTCTGTAGACAACTTAGGCAGTACAAAATGATAGATAGATGATGGATAGGTAAGTAGGAAGATAGATGGATAGATGATATGGAAGTCAGCAAGAACAGCCCATAGTCTCAACTGTAACCATCACTAACATTTCAGGTAAACATCCAGACCTCTTTTTTTTGGGGGGGGGGCATTATTAATTTTATTTATTGCTTACTTGTTTTATCTTTTATCAATGTTCTCGATTGTTTCCATTCTTTTAAGAATTCTAAAAATTAGTATAATTTTAAAAGGTTACACTTCAGTTATTATAAAATACTGACTATATTCTCCATGTTGCAAAGTACATCCTTAAGCATATTTTACATCTAATAGTTTGTATCTCCCACTTCTCCACCCCCATATTATCCCTGCCCCCTCCCCACTCAGACCGCTTTTTGAATCCTTGTTGTTCATCCTAGGACACTCAGATAAATCACTTATCCTCAGTGCCTGAGTTTCCTCATCTCTATTATTATTTGGTCAGGGGGACATGATCTGTGGCTTACTGGATCTCAGTTCCCTGACCAGGGACTGAACCTGGCCTATAGTAGTGGAAGCGCAGAATCCTAACCACTAGGCTACCAGGGAACTCCCTCATACCTTTTTTTATGAGCATGGACAGAGGAGCCTGGCAGGCTACAGTCCATAGGATGGCAAAGAGTCGTACAGGACTGAGTGACTGAACTAACCTGAGTTGATTTATAATGTTTTTTAGTTTCAGATGTACAGCAGTGATTCAGTTATATACACACATTATATACATATATAACATGTATTATGTTTTTCAGACTGTTTCCCTGTACAGGTTATTATAAAATATTGAGTAGAATCCCCTGTGCTGGAAGGTTTCCAGCAAAATTGAGAGGAAGGTCGAGAGACTTACCAGATACCCCAGCCTGCACATACGCACAGCCTCCCCCATCACCAACCTTCCGGCCTGCACATACGCACAGCCTCCCCCATCATCAACCTTCCGGCCTGCACATACGCACAGCCTCCCCCATCACCAANTCAACTGGAATTCCATCACCTCCACTAGCTTTGTTTGTAGTGATGTTTCCTAAGGCCCACTTGACTTCACATTCCAGGATGTCTGGCTCTAGGTGAGTGAGTGATCACACCATCGTGGTTATCTGGGTCATGAAGATCTTTTTTGTACAGTTCTTCTGTGTATTCTTGCCACCTCTTCTTAATATCTTCTGCTTCTGTTAGGTCCATACCATTTCTGTCCTTTATTGTGCCCATCTTTGCACGAAATGTTCCCTCGTTATCTGCAACTTTCTTGAAGCGATCTCTAGTCTCTGTACCCCTGCAGGAGACACTCAGACACAGTTCTGGCTCAGTCTCTGTGGGGTCTCTGGGTCCTGGTGACATGTGTCATATATAATATTTTATATATAATGCATATTACAAATTAGATATTAGAGAAAGAAAAATAGTAAGGCTAAAAATCTAAGCGTTCATCTCATGGTACTAGAGAAAAATGTTGCAAGTCTAGAGAAAGTAGAAGAAAAGAAAGATAAAAACATAAATAAAATTTTAAAATTGGAAAGTGCATTACAGAAATAAAATCATTAAAGTTAAAAGTGGGTTCTTTAAAAAATTAATAAAACTAATGGTTCCTACAAAGACATATCAAGAAATAAAGAGTAAAAACACAAATTACAAGTAGGGTGGCCTCAGGACCCAGCGCCCAGGGCACGCCGGGGACACTGGGCGCTGGGGCGGGTCTCTGGGCTCCTCCGCGGCCCGCGAGGTGGTGCAGGGCTCGCGGCCCGCAGGGAGCGCTGCTGCGCCGTTCCGCCGCCGGCCACTCAGGCCGCCCACCCCGCGGGCGCGCCTCTCCGCAGTCCAGCGCCGCCCGGCCCGGGACCCACTCGCTCCGAGCGCGCACACTGCTCGGCTGGACAGAGGACGCCGGCCGCTCCGGGCCGCCCCGTGCTCTCCTACGGCGCCCGCTCGGCCCACCGCCCCCAGCCCGGCACCGCGTCCCGCCCGAGCCCGAGCGCAGAGTTCCGGCCCCCAGGAGTCTCTCGGCCGTCGGCGGACCCCTCGGCCCCTCCGCCGGCGCGCTCGGCGCCCTGCTCGCGGGGCTCAGGGGAGGGCGGCGGCCAGCTGGGGATGGGCGGCTTGGCGGCGCAGAGGGGCGCCGGGGGGCTCTGCGCGCTGCTCCTGGCGTTGGTGGCTGCAGGGACCCCCGCGGGCGCCTACAACCTGGACCCGCAGCGCCCGGTGCGCTTCCAAGGTCCTGCCGGGTCCTTCTTCGGCTACGCGGTGCTGGAGCACTTCCACGACAACACGCGCTGGTGAGTGCCCTCCCGGCCCGGACCCCGACCGCAGCCCGGCCCGGCCCGGCCCCGCGGCAGCCCCCAGGCCGCCGCCGCCTTTCCGGCCTCTCCACGCCGCCGTCCCGAGGGGGCGATTTAAATGTCTCCGTTGCGCGCAGCCCGGCCGCCTAGGAAAAGAAGGGACGAGGGAGACACGGTCTCCGGTCCCGGACGACCCGGTGGGCTCCCCGGGCGGAGGGGCCGGGCGCCTCTCCGGGTGGGAGAACCGCCGGGATTGCCCCTCGGCCTCCCAGGCAGTCTCGGCTTAACTCAAGGTCGCGAAGTAACTTAGTTCCTCTGCCTCCGCGGGGCTCCGGAGGCCGGGCCGGCATCTCGAACGTCCCTCTCCGGGGCGACCGGCAGACTTCTCAGTTTCGAGAACTCTTGGTGACACCCCTACCCCCAACCCGCCTCTCCCCAGGTTTAAGCCTCTCCTGCCGGCTTTTGCTGGAAGCAGTGTAACCGCGAAGGGCGAGGGGGAGTGGGCTCCGTGTGCCTGGGGTGATGCCAACTGGAATGGTCCTCAGGCTCATCAGGCCCTCTGGGGAAGGGAGCCGAGACGGTCGGGAAGGGGGACGATCCAGGACACTCAGTGACAAGGCCGGGAGGGCTGGCTAGTGAGTGATTTCTGGGGTGGCCTGGGTCTCACCGCACGCGGAGGCCGCTGCCCTGTGGAGAGGTCGAGGAGGACAGCTGCCCCCTGAATGCCCCCCTGAGAGCCCCCAGGGGGCTCAGTCACAGGAGGGGTCAGGCACTCCTCAAAGAGTTAGGGGATGGATAGTTCCCCAGTGGGGGCCTAGGCGGCAGCTAGTCCAAGACTGGTTTTATTGTGAGCATCCTTAGGCATGGCAGGCTGGAAGGGCAAAGTCAGACCTCCTCTGTGCTCAGCACGTAGTTCTGCCTGGAATTGGACAGAGACTGATGGAACTGGCAGGGTTAGTAGATTCAAGTCCGGAGCATTCCTGGAAAATTGGGAACTTTGTGACCTGCCAGCCCTTTAACAATCATGATCTCTAGGAGAGCTGCCTCCAGGAGACCAGCTTCTCAGGTCTTTGTGTAGCTCCTGCCCTGTTCCCTATCTCCCTCCCTACTGTTTACCCCAGTTCCTGAGTGTAAGGCCAGCTGTCATTTCTTGCAATTGCCAAATCCCCCCTTGACAGCAAAGCAGGCTGACACCTTTTCTGTGTCCTCCCGTGTACTCAGTGTCCCCTGTGGACTTTGAATTTGGTAGAGAAGGTGGCCTGGGCCGGAGCAGGTAGAGAACGCATCCCAGGATCCGAGGCCAGGCTCACGGACTGCGTGACCTTGGCACAAAGCTTGTGGGGAGGGCTGTCAAAAATAGGACCAGTCAGGGCAGGGGGCTGCTGAGGAGGGGCAGGCGGGGAAGCTGAAGCATCACTGATGCCGGAGGACCTTTAACGTACAGAGAGCTGCCAGGACCCTGCCTCCTGGACTTGGACGGGCCACAGGTGGAAGCTCCCCTAGCTCAGAGCAAGTAGGGGGAGTCAAGACCTGGAAAAAGAGTTCACTCTGCTTTTTTTTTTTAAAAGTCTTTTGGCCAAGCCACACTGCATGTAGGATCTTTAGGTCGCCAGCCAGGGATCAAACCTGGGCCCCCTGCAGTGGAAGCACAGAGACTTAATTAACTACTGGACCACTGGGGATGTTCCCAGCCTGCTTTGTTTTTAAAAAGGGGGATGAGGAAAGCCTGTGTGGTGTGAATGAATTTGGCAAGTGCAGGAAAAGACCCAGGATATGTGGCAGAGAAGGGGTGAAGATGGAGGATCATGCTGATTAGTGGCCTTGGTGTCAGTGGAGATGTGGGGCAGATATTTCAGAGATCCATAGGAGCCCCTCATCACAGCCAGGCTGCTGGTCTCAAAAGCTTTCTCTCTGCTTCTTATACTGAGTGGGCTGCTCTTTTTTTTAATTTTTTTTTTTAATATTATTATTGAGATATAATTCACACATAACATTAATTCCAGGGGTACAGCATAGTGACTTGATAAATATATATATTATGAAATGGTCACCACAATAGGTTCGTCCTAACATCTGTCATCAGACACAGTTACAACTTGGTGTGCCATGAGAACTTTGAAGACTTACTCTCTTAGCAACTTTTAAATATGTAATACAATATTGTTAACTGTAGTCACCGTGCTGCACATTAATTACATCTCCGTGACTTATTTTTATTAACTTCTCTCGGAGTATAGTTGCTTTACAGTGTTGTGTTACTTTCCACTGTACACAAGGTGAATCAGTTATATATGTACACATATCCCCTCTTTCTTGGATTTCCTTCCCATTTCTGTCACCAGAGTATTATGTAGCATTCCCTATGCTGTACCGTAGGTTCTCATTAATTTCCTATTTTATACATAGTAGTGTATATGTATATCAATCCCAGTCTCCCAACAGCCTGCTCTTTTTATCTGACTTCTTGTCCCTATAATTTTTCAAGTACCAACTAATCCCTCCTGTGATCTATTTAAAGCAACTTTTCTTTTGCCTCCCCTGCTCCATACTGCCTTCATTTTGTATTAGTTCTTGCTTATCTCCTTGGCTTGTGTCCTTCTGCTGTTTCTTCCAAGCATCTTGGGCGTCTGTCATAGCTTAGTCAGTAAAGAATCTGCCTGCAATGCAGGAGACCCGAGTTTGATTCCTGGGTTAGGAAGATCCCCTGGAGGAGGGCATGGCAACCCACTCCGGTATTCTTGCCTGGAGAATCCCATGGACAGAGGAGCCTGGCGGGCTTCAGTCCACGGGCTCGCAAGAGTCAGACACGACTGAGTGACTCAGCCACTGCCAAGCATCTTTCTCCCTGTTCTTGTCTCCCTTCTCCTGCTTCTTGGTCTTAGACCTTGAACATTATTCTCTGCTGACTATACTGCCCAATCTTCGAAGGAAGAGACTTCCAGCATCTCCTGTTTTCTCTTCTCTTTTCCTTCCATCTTTACAGGCTTGACTTACTACGATACTCGTGAAACTTCCACCAAAGGCCTCTCACTTGCATAGGCCCTGTGCTTAATCCTATACTCATAATTTTGTATTCATTTTCTTAAAGGTAGTTGCCCTATATTTGTAGGATTCAGGCCCTGTGGAATCTGGAACTGTTAATTGGTCTCTACCTTAACTTTCAGCTCTGGGGTTTGTTGATTGACTTAGTGACTGATGGTTGGTCTCTACCTATCAGGCGGTCCTTGGGTCCTGGATCTTTTAGCTTTGCTTGAGGGACAGGCAAGTTGTTTCCAATGATTCATGATTACAAACAGCAGCAGGGTAAACATCCTTCTAACAAAAGCCTTGCGGACATCCTTAATTATTTCCTTTGCATAAGTTCCTGGGCTTAGAATCACTCGGTCAGAGAGGGAGGGAGGCTTTCAGGCATCTTCTCTGAGTTTCCATAGTGCCAGTGAAGTGGAAATGTGAACTTTAGGGCGATGTATTAACTGTGGAGTAACGTACCAAAGGCTGCTCCAGTCCAATGGGAGAGCAGAGCCCCCAAAAGAAAGAAAATTTAAAAAAAAGATGACAGAGAGTCGGGTTGGGTGTGGGAGGTAAGTGATAGACTTGACGAGGAAGTCATGGACTGAAACTCTGAATGGAAGAGAAGGCAGTGTTCACTAAACCTTACGTCTTCGCCTTTCTTCTTGAGCAGAGATTATTCTTTAGCTTCTTCATTCAGTCTTTCATGGTTTAATAGTCTTGCTTCATGCTAATCAAGCACCTTTTTACAGGTGGGAGGATTTGTCTTGTGTAAGGTGAGGAGGGAGGGAAGTGCTGCGTGGGGGGAGAGCAGCCCCCACTGACTGCAGGGGCCAGAGAGGAGGGGTCCCCGGACTAAGCGCCCCCCAGGTTCACATCCCAGAGCGCCCGCATGTGCTCTGTCAGCAGAACTAGTGCATCTTCTCTAATCCCATAGCTGAGCATCCCGAGCATTTCTTTTTTAAACCAGAATTGTCGCTGACCGGAGGTCCTAGCTCCGCGTGTGTGGGGTGGGGGGTCACCTTCTGAGCCCCAGACCCTGCATCCTGCACCCGCGGTCATGCTGCTTTGAGAACCCAGCACGACCCCGGCTCTCTCCAAGGGTGTGGCTCGAGTAGCTCCTGCCGTCATGCTCTGGGCAGTGAGCGTTGTCCCCGTGGCCAGGTGGACCGCAGTACCCTAGGGAGTGTGATAGATGTCACTGGTATCAGTTGGATGCAAACATGCAAGGGACTCGGTTTCTATTTTTTCCCAGTGATATCCGTCTGCCTGCCCTGAGCCAGCGTCCTCTCTCAAACCTGCCACCCCCCGGCTCTTCTCGCCCCCTTTGAACAACAAGCAAGAGGTTCCAGGGAACACGGACAAAGCAGATTTCTGTCCCCTTCCTGTAGACGCGGACGGTCCCTCAGCTGCGGGGCAGACAACTGTAACACCCTGGAGATAAATACATGCAGCCCGGCTGGCGTCCAGGCCCCGGAATGGGGTTCTTTCACACCCTCCCCTCCCCTCCTTCCTCTCGGCCCCAGACGCCCCGGAGTCTGAGGCGGTTGGGTGCCCTGGCTTCCTTTCTGGAGACGTGCTTCCTGCCCCATCTCCCGGGACACATCAAGACAGCCGGCCGTGCTCTGGCCCAGAGCAAGTGCTCGGAAATGGAAGAGGCGCCGGCATTGCGCTTTGTTAAGGTTGTCTGAGCATCTCTCAGTGAGGAACAGGAGGCGATTCAGAGCCGAGGGGAACATGGCATCCTCTCATTTGCATGAAGCTTGACAATTAAGAGAACAAGCTAACTGGTTCCACACTGCCAGTGCAGTGGCCACGAGCCAGGTGTATTGCCATTTAAATTAATTACTCCCAGGGATTTCCCAGGTGGTCCAATTAAGACTCTGTGCTTTAACTGCTGAGGGCATGGGTTTGATCCCTGGTTGGGGAGCTAAGATCCTGCATCCCATGCTGTGTAGCCAAAAAAAAAAAAAGTTGCAACCAAATAA